TATTTCAATATTAAATTCTACAAAAAGGATTTGAAGCTTTATATCTTCTATTAATTATCTGCGAGCGCTTTCGACAGTTGGTAGTACTGTCATCTTCTGGCACTCCTCAAACTGAACTGGTCATCCTGTTGTTTATCTCTTTATACGGTGTCTTTATAGTGTCTGAACTCAGATATTTCAGGTACTTAAGGTAAATTTGCCTGTATTTGTTCTGCATCAGGTACTCTTCTTCGTGTTAGATCTTCTCTAGGAATGTGTATGGTTTTGTTTAATATATTGAATGTGAGGTCTTGTTGAACTTTGAACTTTGAAAGTTTTCGAGATCTTAATGGGGGCCTAATAATGAACAAGCTTGTATATTTTTGTTCTGATGAATTATTCAACCCGATAATTTCATTTAGGATTTCCCGATGGTCTAAACCAATGGCAGTGATGAAATGGATCTAGCCCAAGAAGTAGAATTTGAACACCTGGAAAAATTACAAGGTACAAATCAATTTTTATTTCAGTTCCTCAATAAATGATTCTCCCAATCGATATATTGTTTTTCATTTACGAATTCCAGTTTAGAAATGGTGATTTCAATGAATATGACGTTTGTACACGATTTATTTGAAAATTTGCCATTTTAGAAAATCATCAAGATAAATAAAGTATATGTTCAAATTTCGTTTCCAGAAGAGATACTCAGTATACATATTCTAAATTTTTTTCTCATTTGATTTTTTTCCGAAGTAGAAAGTGATTGTTTTGACTGGCTTCTGAGGTTTGCCGTGGGCTTCTTTGGTTATAACCTCCAAACGTTGCGACTGCAACGGCGGCAGTCATCTTCAGTGGCGTGGTCGAAGTACTCTGCCGCAGTTGCAGTTGAAACGTTAGAAGATTATAAGAGAAGAAAATGATGGCAAAACCCGAAAGCCAATCAAAACATAGACGCCAGTAATATAGCTGCAAGAGTTCTGAGCCATTCCTTATGGACAAACACGTGCAAATTTGAGCAGGTTCATTCTGGCGTTTTTTGGACCTCAGGCCCACATCACACGGAAGGGGCAAAGGTCAGCGCCTCGTCTCTGTCCATTATGTGTAAATTGAGCCTCAGCTTTCAAAGCCCAATTCAGACCACCTACACTTCTCCACTTTTACCGTCATACAGTCGACCAATCAGAAGCTACCGCGCATACAGCGGGAAATTCAAACCAGTAGATGAACACTTCTGGCCCACTTCAAGGTCGTGCGTCACTGGTGAGCGTTTCAGAGAAAAACTTTAGTGAGTGGAAGAGAGAAACATATGACGTCATCGATGCAAGATGGAATGAGTATCGAAGAGATTCAAGCGTGGGCCTCCTTGCCCCTCGACCCCCTTAGTACTCCGCATCGCCGATGGGCCCGCCTTGGGACTCCGCCACACCCCTCGACCTTCTGTCACGTTGCCATAATTGAAAAAAGTTTAAAGTTATGAGATTCGAACCCGGATCGTAAAAAATATCTAAAAAACTATATTTCTTTGCAAGAATTTCTGGCAATTTATCCATTCTTCTATTATTTTCTTGTTTATTCTAAATCAAACATCTCAGTTACAAGAACTGCAAAGTCGTGGTATGCGAATTGTTCTAAAAGTGAATAGATTCACTGAAATCGGAATTATGTTACAAACTTTGCGGTGGCTACCAGTTTCTTTACGGTTGTATTACTTAACTATAACATTTATATTATTATTATTATTACATGCGCAGACAACATGGTTGTCTCACTTGCACGGAGATCGTATGGCGATCCTGATCAGGATAGTAACATAAGCTCTTGAAATTATTGTATTGTTTCTTGATGAGTGTACAAAGTTCGTTAGAAGTTAGTCAAATTCGAGTCCAAAGGACTCGGTCAGAAACGAACATGCACGTGAAGCTAATGAAAGCATGTTAATTTTGTTAAAAACACATCAATTAATGATCTAATCAACCTTTATCTAAAGTAGAATGTTTAATATCCGGTAAGTTTTGTTGTTGTGAAACAATGAGTGTAGTTAGATAAATATCGTTTTCCAATGAATTACTATGCTTATTTCACTAAATATTGCCAGTGAGTGAGAATAGTCTTCACGAAAAGGTAAGGCTTGTTTGCTCAGAGTGAAAGTATTTCAAAAAGGTTTCCAGAACTCTCTCAAATGAAAGTTTATTGTAACTGGTACTGTAATACATTTCCAGTTAGCATTTTGGTTCACTATAAGTATAGGTTTAATATTTTCCCAGATATTCAATTTTCCAGAATAAGCACCTTCTCAAAACACCACGATTGCATAACCTACTGTTTTTGGCCCATAGCGTATCACTAAGCAAGTTGGCGTTTTCTAAAGATGGAGTGACCAGTTTACATCATCTTCTGATGCAGTTCTGGTTTTTGGGAAAATTGATTTCTATTGTATATTTTTCACTTTATACTGACTGGGATTAATCTAAGATTAAACAGTTATTGGTATTTCTATTTCAAATATTTGCAAAATTTGCATTCTGCCATCTTGCCAAGTTGAGAATATTCCATCACAAGTATACTGCTGAATTTCACCCAACGTAAAACAAAAATATCTGTGCTTATAAATTGTTAGATATCGAATCATGTATAAAAACAAAGGTTTTTATTGTACATTGTTTTACATGAGCTACCGACTCGTGGGAAACGGAGTTCAGTTGTGGTTTGGTTTTGGAATTTATGTATAGTTGTGAGCCTGAAGCGTTTTATTTCATTCTGATACCTAACATAAATAAACTACTCAAAATGAAAATAGAGACATGTCCTTAAAATGCCTTTGTTAAATTTAACTCACATTGTTTTCAAAATGCCGTTTGGTAATACGAATAAAAAGAAATGCAAATGAGTGTCGAAAACAAATAAAATTTATTTCAGAAAAAAATCAAGAAAAATGTACATCAATAGTAAGTACGTCCACCCCTGGCTCTAAGAAGTTGGGCACAACAACGAGGCATGCCTTACACCAAATTTCTAATTATTTGTTGTCGTTACCTACTGCTCGTTAATCGTCAAAAGAGCATCTTCAATTGGTTCAGATTTTGGAAGGGTTGATGATTCTTCAAACGTTTCGCCAGTTCATCCCTGAGCTGCTCAATAGGAGCAGCTCAGGGATCCGGACTATTGGCTGGACATCTCATGACATTGATATTGTGCTCCTGTAGGAAATTTCTCGCGACCCTGGCTACGTGTGGCCTGGCATTATCTTGTTGTGAAATGAACAAATGGAAGAACATGACGTTCCAATATCTCCTCTATGTAACGGACAGCCGTTAAAGTCCCTTCTCGAAATACCACAAGGTCCGTGTGTTCTGTCAAAGTTATACCAGTCCATACCATTATCGACTCACCTCCAAATGGAACAATTTCTTGCACACAGTCATCCAAATAGCGTTCACCTCCATACCACAACACGTCCATCATTGTTGAATAACATGAATTTTTTCCATCTCTAAAAACATTACATTGGTCCAATGCTCTAAATTCCAATTACGATGCTCCTGACAAAAGTTTCTACGATTTACTTGATGAGCTGGAGTTAATCTAGGGGCTTTAGCAGGTCGTAGCAGAGTTGTACTTCGTGAAGTCGGTTTCGTATCGTTTAGTTCG